GGTGTAGGAGGTCGTCGTGGACGTGGGACAATTCGTACCCTCCTTCATCCCTATTAATGGTGTTGTTATTGCGTCTCTTATCCATATAGCTTCTCTAATCTTCCCTTGATGTTTTTCATTTTCCTTGTCCAATAACTTGGTATTTATCCAGTCTGGGGTGTGATTTAACCGGACAATATGGTCCTTGATGGCCGATTTGTGTATAATATCAGAGGTTGAGGCTCTAGTGCGTACTCCACCTGAGGTGTTGGTACGGACATCTGTTTTGTGTTCTACTAATGTGACCCTGAAATGTCTGCCTGTCTCCCCTATATATTTAGCTTTACAGTTGCTACATCCAACCTGGTAAATAGCTTTTTCTCAGACTTTTTCTCATAAAACCGCCAAAAAAAAGGGGGTCCTCCCCCGGAAAAAATTGTATTCTTAGATGGCTGGAAATGAGCTTTAACGACTTCTGAGGTGACTTTTAAGTTCTTTAAATTTTAAGGTTTTCCTCCGCTTGAAAACGGTCAGGTAAACTTTCTCATTCTTATTACTGTAAATACTAGTAGCCCTACTATGTGTGTATGTACAGTACATAACAAAAATTGAGTGGCTGCATACATATTCTTTTTTCAATAAATCGATGAACCCCAAATAAAAGGGGGTCGGGGTCCTCCCGGGGAAAATGTTGGTTCTTAGATGGCGATAAATGAGTTTTGCCGACTTCTGAAGTGTCTTTTAATAAAAACGATTAAAGGTTCTCCCCTTTTGTAAACGGTCAGGTAATTGTTTTCTTATTCTTATTGCAGTAAATAGGCCTGTGTGTGTACCGGTACACAGAGAATTTTTTTAAATAATTTTTTTCCCAAGGGAAAAACGGTGAGAGTGGAAATTTCAATATTGATTTGTATGAGTAGGTTTTCTGTAAACGGAAGTAGTGATATTGCCATGTTCATGCACTGTAATATGTGTATCGAGAAAAAGAATGGAATTGTCAACCATGAATTCATGTGTGAATTTAATATTACCAGTAGTATCTATGGTGTTGAAGTGTACATTGAGATCATTCGCTGCACCCTTGGGAATGATGGCTAATAATATCGTCAACGTACCTTTTCCAGAGTTTCCAGAGTCTTGATGTCAAGGGGAACGCTTAACAATGCCTTTTCCTCTAGCCATTACATATTATATAAATTGGCAATCAGGGGGGAGACCATGCTCCCCATAGCTAAACCATATTTCTGTTAGTGGTTGACGCCATTGAAAGAAAAATATGTTGTGTTGAGTACCAACGTCAACAGATTCACGAAGTCATCAGTTAATAAGTTGGGTTTTTTTTCCTTTAAGGCCACCATATGCTATAAGACGTGTCCTAACAACGGATATGGATTCACTCACTTTTTTTAGGTGAAAAGAAATGTTACATCTTAGGACATAAATTCTTCATCATGATCCAATTTAATATCTTTTAAGGTTTCCACTAGATGTTTGGAATTTTCGACATTGAATTCTAAATTGCCTACCATAGGTGTTAACGAATCTGCCAAACTCCTAGACACTTTGTAAAAAATCGAAGCCATATAATCCACAATAGGCCTAAGTGTGTTTATGAATCTTCGGTGTACAATACAAACGATCGGGTGTCACTTCTGAGGTGAGGAAAATGATCTCTTTTTGTTTAGCTGTTATTTTGTTCTTCTTGAGAGTGTTTAATATCATAGTTAGTTTCCTTTTGTAACTGGGCGTGGGATTTTTCTTTAATTAGTCATACGGGTGTTGATCAGATAGCATAGAATTGACTTTATCAATGTAAACTTCTGTATCTACTACTAATACTACCACTACCACTGCCACTACCACTACCACTACCACTACCACTACTACTACTACTACTACTACCACTACCACTACTACTACTACTACTACTACTGTGGATTTACCTTTGTATGCAGGAAGTATTAAAATGGACTTATCCCTCTTGAGGTCTTCTAAGGCTGCTCTTTCTTTTAGATACATTGGGCTGGGGTAATTTTGAAGATCTTACTATGTTGGTGATTTTGGCTCTTAATATATCACTTTCACTTTGTGGAACTAATCTACATGCCATTTCTGAAGCTAAAATTAAAGCCTCTATGGGTTTCTTTTTATCGGTGACAGCATGATTCAGATCCTTGGCTAAAATAGAGTTCTCCTCCTTGCTCAATGTTCTATTAGAAAAATTGATGACCCATCTTTCAGTTGTTTTCCTGTTAGATCAACGTTATTATCGTTTACCTCAATATTAATACGCCTGCATTCTTTCTTGCCACAACTTCAGCTTGTTTTGATGCCTAGAACATGTTTTTAAGAACGTCGCTTTCTTCGCAATGTGTAAGTGGTCCTGAACTACTTTTCTATCCTGTTGGTATGTAAAAATTCTAGATACTTTCTCATCAAGTAAGTTGTAATCATCCTCCACACATTTTATATCTCTCGTGATCGTTCTAATTCTCTCTCCAAGGAGTTGTTTTTGCGCCTTTTCTACGATTTTCCGTGCCCGATTCAATTTGAACGGACTTTAGACTAGGTGGAACAATAGCCTGTTGTTAGCCTGTGACGCTAAACATATAGGTGAGACAAGCAGACCTTTCATAGTCAGATAAGAAGAAAACAAAAAAACAGATGTCCGTACCAACACCTCGGGTGAAGTACGCACTAGAGCTACCGTGCCTCAACCTCTGATATTATACAGTAATCGGCCATCACGGACCATAAGGTCCGGTTAAATCGCACCCCGGACTGGATAAATACCAAGTTATTGGACAAGGAAAATGAATAACATCAAAGGAAGATTAGAGAAACTATATGGATAAAACGCAATAACAGCACCACGAGTAGGGATGAAGGAGAGTACGAATTGTCCCACGTCTACGACGACCTCCTTCACCAACCCTCAGGTCCAGGAGGAGGGGGCGCGGATAGACGTTCTACTACGCAACATCGCAGAACGCACCCGTCACCATTACACAATCGGTGACGTAGACATTGGCTACTTGCCAATGTCATTCTGCTGAAGAAAGTCAGAAAATGCGGATTGAAAGCTAGTGGTGGGAAACAATCCTTATTAGCAGCTTTAAATAAATAATAGTTTCTTAACATGTACTCAACCGCAATCTACATCATTTCTGATCCGCTTCACTGCAAGAGGGCAAGAGGATTGTTTTCAAAATCTTTTCCAACAGGTCATAAAACAGTTTAGTATTCTTTGAATTAATTCAAGACTATTTCCTTCATTTAGGTATACATTTATGTAAGCTTTGTACCACAGTACTATGCACTACAAATACTTTCGGAACATACTTTAAAGTTTGTTCAACTATTTTTACACGATTTTGACTTCATGAATACGTTTTAGATTTACTTCACTAAAAAGAACCTAAATATTCTCAATAGGTCTAACCTGGCTCTGTGACCATTCTACTATATATATGCTACTATACTATACTATAGTTATACTGTTCATCACATACATAGCATACGAGTACTAATAAACGTATTATTATCCGATAGTTTTCATTTATCTAGTTAGGGGGCCTGAATTTTGTGAATAAGTTGTTTGGAAGCGAAGTATGGCGGCTTGAAAGTTGGTGAATTTATATACGTTAATCGTAGAATGGCCTTCATAAAATTACTAAATGTTAGGGTTTAGAGTGGAAATATTGAACCCAAACTTCAAAAATAGTAAGATTAAAGGTAACACTTTATATTTATGACATAGTCACATTTTGCTCAAATTACATGTTATACTGTCTATTTGGCCCTTTTTCTCGAAACCTGGTGATGCGAGTTTACAGCCCTTTTGTGGTCTTGGGTCACAAATGAAAGGCTCATCATCCATGGACTTTTATTTGAACAGTTAAAGTCCTTGCAATATTAGTACAGCTTTGCTAGTTTCATCAAGCCTAGTCCCTTTCTAAACAACTTTATCGAACGTTAGCTTGACCAGTGGTGATTTCTTTGTTGACGATGAATATGATACGCTTCACCGGACTATGATGTTTATCTGAAAACAGTTTATTCAGTTTAGTGTTGCCGATACGTAATGTGTTTGCACTGCCAACACTAGAAATATTCAATCATAAAGCAGAGTTTGCACACTGATGTCATAACAGTGGACAATTATTTAGCTAAATAAACGCTGGTCGGATCTTTTTTCAGACTATGGAATAATGGATTAACTCAGACCAAAATTTGGAAGCTGTGATATAGTGAAAATGTAGTCGAGTCACACCTGTGTGTTTGAGGTATTATACTACATTTATCGTTTGGAGATTTAATGTACAGTATAACCATTATGCCAAAAATCGACTTCCTCATAACGACATCACCAAGCAAAATGCGAACAGAAAAATTTAAATTCCAAGATACTTTTTATATACTTTCTCCAATTTCACGTTAGATTTTTTTTCCAGTTTAAAATATTTGACGAAAATGTATCTACCCCACCTCAAAAAAAAAAAAAAAATCAGCTACCAATGTTTCCTTTCAATCGCTAGGCCTATTCTTAAAAATATCAACATGGATTGTTGAACAGTTGACCCAGCGGTTCTGGTTCGGATTTTACAGCTTTGAGGTCGGGGTTCAAGTGTTAGAAAATAAAATTTTAAGATTATTATTATATTATTGGTAAAATGCGTCAAGTCGTGTCTGTGAGGGCGATATTAATATTTTAAGACAGACGGCAAACCTCCTATTTTTTCTTATCACATAAAATTTAATACAATATTCAATTTCAATTTATTGGAATTACTTTTAAGACAGTGGCACACGAGTATGCTACTCGGTGCATCAAAGATAAAAATAAAACATCAGAAATATTAAACCACAAAGAAGAATTAATGTGTATTTTGTTTATGTGGATGGATCTATTGTTCTGAGCATCCAAATGAACGAAACACAATACAAATTTACCAATTCAAATTTCGAACTAAATCAACCATTCATTAGTCTGTGTACGTTCAACTACGCATGAGCCAAACCAATCCATTAGATGACGATCGCACAAGTTTAATCCATCAGCTTTCATTATAGTCGCTACCTAGAAACATGATCGGACGTTTGAATTTGAATAGGCCTACAATCTACAAATTTTCATATAACTAAACTCACAATTGTGTCTGCGATTCGAATTATTATATCATTATTATGATATAAGCTACAAATAGAGAGAGCGACCAGTAGCCGGTATTTGATTAAGCATACTCGCTCCAAAGATATTGGATAAACTCCGTAGGTTGCTGATGATATGGATGTTATGTTTGATACTGAAACCTATATAGCGAATTGTCCTATTCTTTATTTTGAAATTCAAGTAGTTTGCAGACAAGTTTAGAGCTAGAGAGAATATAGGCCATTTCACCTTTGTGATTCCTGTGGAAAGAAATGGTAAACAAACTCGTAAGCCGTTGGCTGAAGTGTATTATCTTGCTGAATGCCGTTATAGTATTGATACTTTATTCAGTGATTCCAAAATGGTGAGAATTATATCTTTAATATTTTGTAAGTAATCAATAAAGATGTTTTGATGTTGACTTGGTATCGATATCCAAAAGTGTTATACGGACTGGTAGGCATAATTGATAAAGGTCCATGTAAGTATCTACATTTAAAGTCTATACCTTTTTCAGTCCTTTACACATTTTTGTTTAAATGACAGATTTAATGTTTTAATTGAATTGTTTGGCCATTACGGTTCTAGATTTTACCATCCTGCAAGGGATCTCGGATCGATAACAGCAGGGCAGCAGTGCCAGTATAAGCTAGTACACCGGGGAAACCCCAAATTGTGTACACTGGGCTTAGATAGTCCTTATCCTTAGCCTCTCGCACCAGTACTGATATTATGGTTGTGGTTGTTGCATCCACCTGAAGCACGGACAACAGACTCTGTAAATTCAATGAATTATGAATAATTCATAATACAAAATATGCAGGTGGAAATTTCGACCAAGAGCTTCTATTCATTTGTATATTACTAATCTTATACAGAAAAATACAGGAAGTATACCTTTATATGTTCTACTATCGTTATTCTTTAATCCAGTGGTTTCCAAAAGTAATTGGGGATCCGCCAAGTGAAAGAGCTTGGCATGAGAGGGGGGGGGGGGGGTTGGTCCATTATTTTTCTTGTCTTACAACAGTGTGATAAACATATTACTGCAAATCGTTATATGCCTCATCAATACAAATCTTCCTGTGAAATTAATTTTCCCTACTCATTCCACCCGAACTCGTCAATCCGCTGCTTCTCGTCTTGTTCTACCTTGCTTAAAACATGTCAAAGCCGGCTAACGCTCATTTTCTTTTCTTGCATCGAAACATTAGAACTCTCTCCCGCCTGCTACTAGATCAATTTTGGACATTCATCTTTTAAAATCTCACCGCATTATTCTTAATTCCCTTTATTTAATTATTATTTGATTGTTATTTCAATTGTTGTTCTTATTATTGATTTTAATATTATTATTATTGTTCTTATTACTATTATTTGTAATCATCATTATTATTATTATTATTTCACTATTATTATTATCATTATTATTATTGTTATTGTGTTTTTGCTCTTTATTGTGTAATATTGTAAAGCGCTAGTGACAACTTCCGTTTTAACCTACGCTATAGAAATTTTAAAATTTATATATCTTATAAATAATTTCAATTTATTCAAATAACCTTCAATAAAAGAGAAACATTCATGAACAATCGAAACAATAACGTTACATTAAACAAACAAAAAAAAACAAAAACGAAAAACGAGAATAGATTAATTACATACTGTACAGCATAAAATACAAAAATTACACTCACCGATAGAAGTTTCACCAACGAGCGAAACCAGTGTTTCTTTCCTTACATTGTGTAATTAACATGAATAGAGCATATGGCCTAGTATTATAATTTATATACAAATATGTACATATATACATGTATATGCCTACGTATATGTGCATATATACAATACATACACATATTATAAAAAGAAATAGACAACTAACAACCTAAATTAAAATAGCTTGGTAAGTATGATAATTCAGTGGTGGTTTTGATGTTTAATACAGGTTTTCTTTTAGATCAACTTCGACTTTCGCAAATACCGTGGTTAATACAATCACTTTTCTTAATAGAAGACTTCAATTTTCGTCTGTATAGCTATAATTAGTGTTGAGAAAAGGGAAACGTCCATGTCATTCACAACTTCCTTAACCCTCTCAATAAGCGTGTTTTATAGGGATACCAAGAAATGCCTTTACTTAACTTACTTTGAATTTTATACATAAGACATTGACAATCATACACAAGTATAGGAACCAGTACATTGTTCCAAATAAGAAGTTTCACTTCAGTACAAGAGCCCTGTTCACACATGCGATACTTTGTAAGGATTTTTTTTCTGGGATTTATGATTTCAATTTTAGTTTGCAATTTAGTGTGATCCCGATGTAGGTCACAGAGTCCGTGATTTTCAGGTTATGATTATTTAAAGCCCATACCGGCATTGGTGTTAAACTTTGTTTGCCCATGGAACCTCCATGGTTTGCAAATATTGCACAATGTCTTCATGCGATTGAAGCGTAAACCATAGGATAGTATATAATTGTTGGCGTAATCAATACGTTTTTTACGATCAGTGGACAAAAGACTGGTAATAGTAAATCGTCAGCATAACAGAATGTATTAAACATACAATTCCACCACATGTTAAATATAAAAAAAGTCCTCATTGTATAATGAAATACCTTTGACATAGGCATAGACTTCGTTCACCGTAAATTGTTTTAACTGGCATTATATTTTAATCGAAATATTAGAATCTGTTGTATTTTTGTTTTTTATTTTGTTTTATCTAAATATATTTAGAGATTAGGTTTAGTGTTTAGAGAGAGCCACTCAATAGTGGCAATCCTCAAGTAATAAACATCTTGTTTTTGTGTTTTATATTGCTTTTACCTGTATAATGATATTTTTAATTGGGCCCTAAATCTTACAAAATTAAAAGAAAATAGGGAAATAATAAAATTAAATTCAAATTTTGAGTCTGACAGTGCCATTTCTGGGTATCTAGAACACCGTTCTGCAACCAATGTGTCGCGACCCAATGTTTGGGTAGCGGGAAAAAATGAGTCGCATCTCTTCAGATCGTGAACATTATACTTTTATTACTAACAAAGACAAAGCAAATCGAATTGCAGTAAAGAAACGTGCATAAATGTGTGGCATATGCGTCAGTGTACTTTTGTATGCGTGCGTTGTCAATAGTTTCATTTCAATAATATAATATGAAAGCATTTGTACTTCAGGTAATACAACTTGACAGTTTTAGTTCTGTTTATTTCAGTGTTTCGCTTTCAAGTGAAAATTATAACGAAAATGCTCTCGTCAATTAAATGTATATATTGTACTATTCTTCTAATAACCCATATATTTTTGTCAGCAAATTTAGGAATTGTTTGTAGTAAACTTATGTGGCTCCGTTGTATGAGTAATTCTAAGTTTATTGATTTCATCTTTATTGCATTTAAATATATTTTAGGTGATTGGAAAAACCTCTAATGAATTAATTGTTATCTTTTAATTGGTAACAAAAGAATGAAGAATACATAGGCTATTCTTCGCGTAAAAAAACGACAGACATGATTCATTGACTTAATCACTCAACTCGAAATAATAATATAATATTTACAATCATACCATGAAATTCAGGTGATAGACATGGCCTCGTGTCTGAGTGCTTGGCATTCAATTTGGGCTGTGGGCTAAATAGTTTGCGGAACGGGGATCTAACAGTGCCATAGACATAAACATTTTGTACCTCAGTCCCAACCATGGTGGGGCTGAGGTGATATAGATCGCCTACAGTATCTGTAAAGTGAACTTTATCCCCCTCCCCTTTATTTCGAATTCCAAGATCCGCCAATGTTTACTGTTACTTTTCTGGCAAAACACATTGTATCTATATAATCTTATTAGTTAAATATTAACTTGGAGTAGCCCAAAATCTTTACAAAATTTAAAGAAAATTGGGAATAAGAGAAAAATTACAGTGCTATTTCTGGCCATAGAAGTGCCATAAAACATCAAAATCTCGGACCTCAGCCCCCAAACATGATAGTGCTGAGGTGGTTTCTACAGTAGGCCTACTTCGAATTCCAGCATCTGCCACTGTTTATTTATCGTACATTTTTTCGCGATTCATCTTCTGTCTATATTAAATATAGTATATCTAATATTGTGTGTACCACTACGGGGCCCCACAAGGTACGGTATTGGCGCCTTTTCTGTATATGCATCAGATTTCAGGTATATATTTCCAAGTTGTCCAATGGCAAAAATTTGCGGACGACTCAGGCTATATTGAAGGAAACAAACCATCCTCTCCATGCCGACATTATAGGCACCGTTATTTTTAGAAGTGGTAGAATGAGAACGGTTAATGCGCACGCGGGTCGTTACAAGTACTCGTATACCCAGCGTGGATACGAGATCATAATATAAAGTATCTAAGGTAATTAAAAAATATATTGTACAGGCAGTCATAAGCTTGCTAAAAAAAAAGCTTAGGTTATTGGTTATTGGCAAGTCGAGGTAGCGGATGACGACAAGAATGATGAAGACCGCATTTACAGCACCAATGTTAGTATTTCAGTTTAATAGGATGCCGTTTGGTTTGCAAAACGCACCAGCAACTTTTCCGCGATTAATGATGTCATGTTTTGGCAATCAAACTTTCTCTTCTTTGAATACTTTTGAGCAACACATTGTACGATTGGAGATGGTGTTTGAACGTCTTCGTCTCCACGGATTGAAAATTAAAATTTGTTTTGTTTTGTTTTGTCTTGTTTTGCTTTGTTTTTTTTTGTTTTGTTTATTGTTTTTTGTTTTTGTTTTTGTTTTTTGTTTGTTTTTTATTTTTATTGGGAATGCGACATTGTGAAATTGAAAATAACAGCCTTTTACGCACTGTAGAAAACAGCAGCTTTTTTTGCACTGAGTCACTGCCGATATAAAACAGCAGTTTTTTTTGCATTGCGATAGTGCCAACAACCTCAGCCTGACATTTGTGTGTTTTTATTGTTATAGGAACGATGAATACAGTGTGCTTCCAGCACGGGCTGTGCCTGGTCAAAATTTCCAACATCCACAAACGTATGGAATAAATAGTAGTTCCATCGGCGTTACTGACATTTCTATACCTAATGTAAATGCAACCAATATGTACGTAGTTGACTTTGGCAACGAAACGCGATTTAATGTTGGAGAATTATTGAATTTGATAAAGACACCTTGGAAGAATAATATATCATATATATTACAATTTAGGCAAGTATATTATTTACAATCTTCTAACATGATGCGCACAACACATGCAATGTTTTTATGTTATAAAAAACCTGTAAAATAGATCTGGGGTAAGCGTAAAATATAGCCAACAATAAATAATATAATATTTTAAGAAAAATAATATTCAATTTTGGATGCTTTATCAATAATTCAGTGGCGTAATGGTGAGTCATTAAGCCTCGTAACGAGAAAGAATCGTTTAACATATTGGATAATACAAACAATTCAGAGAAGGAAATACAACAAAAACAGCTGCACAATAAAAAAAAAGCAGTCACAGAGAAAAAAAGAAAGAAAAAAAAAACAGTCGATTAAAATTTAGATTATCATTATATATACAGCAAGTATATATCTTTAAAATTTTAAAATTTAAAATTATGTTATAACAATTAACAATTTTCTAATCATTTGTGCAAAAAAATCTTTGAAATTTTAGTAAAACTATGTGCACACATTCTTTTGACAAATATATTGACTAAAGTTCCGTCCACACTATCAAATTTTATGTGAGAAATGTGTGATGTGCCCAAATATGGGTATATTACTTTTTTGGCACATATAATTTGATAGTTTACTATAATTTCAGACATTTTCTTTCTTTTTTTATTTATTTTTTTTTTTTTGTACAAATGATTAGAAACCTGTAGTCAATGGGCTTATTCGACTGGTTCGTTTTGTTGAGTACGAATTTTCGTTGAGTATTATTTTCATTCTACTGGTTCGTAAAATAGACTTCATTGACAACGAAAATTAACGCAGTGTGTCCGGATTACGCAGTGTGTGCGGTAACTATGCAGCCGTTTTGTTTTGTCGAGTATTTACTAGTTTTCTATTTAACATATTGGATAATACGGTACAAACAATTCAGATAAGGAAATACAACAAAAACAGCTGCACAGTAAAAAAAAAAAAAAGCAGTCACAGAGAAAAAAAGAAAGAAAAAAAACAGTCGATTAAAATTTAGATTATCATTATATATACAGCAAGTATATATCTTTAAAATTTTAAAATTTAAAATTATGTTATAACAATTAACAATTTTCTAATCATTTGTGCAAAAAAATCTCTGAAATTTTAGTAAAACTATGTGCACACATTCTTTTGACAAATATATTGACTAAAGTTCCGTCCACACTATCCAATTTTATATGAGAAATGTGTGATGTGCCCAAATATGGGTATATTACTTTTTTTTAGCATATAATTTGATTTTTTTTTTGCACAAATGATTAGAAACCTGTAGTCAATGGGCTTATTCGACTGGTTCATTTTGTTGAGTACGAATTTTCGTTGAGTATTATTTTCATTCGACTGGTTCGTAAAATAGATTTCATTGACATCGAAAATTAACGTAACCGAAATGCGTTAATCAGCGTTAAGTTATGTACGTGACCGAACAAAATTTGTCCGATTGGTCAGTTTAGCAACAACATTTGCGTTAATATAATTTAGATTAAATTTCAGAAAATAAAAATTATAATATTTAACCAGTCAAAAGTCAGTCAAAAAATAATTGCTTACAGAATTCAAAAACTGGATGAAAACATTTTTTACGAAAAACCCATACTGCCACAATTTGAAGCAGTCGAGTATTTACCAGTTTTCTATTCGACTGATCGTCTTTGTTAAGTAGGATTTTACCACACTGTGCAGGTGGGCGTGGTTTAACGAAGAATGACCAGTCGAATATACGGCCATTGTATTTGTCAAAAGAAAATTTGACAGTTTTAACGTAGCTTTAAATAATTTGATATTTGTTTTCTTTAGACATGATTTATCGTCATTTATGGAATCGTTACGGATGTTATTCGTGACGAAAGAAAATACAAAGCTTGGTAGTAAATTGCAATATGTCTGGACAAAGTACGGTGAAGTCACCATCAACGATGTGATCTTCAAATATCTTCCAAAGGTATGTGATATAGGGTTAAGAAAATTAACAAATCTGGGAACTAAAATACTAATTAATTATCATTTAACAAAAGATATACAAATAAATGAAAGCAGAATAAAACAAGAATTAGTTTTCTGAGAGAAATATTTTAATTGTCATAATGATCGGTGGTGAAATTAGACGTTTTCTCCGCCATTGACAGAAGATATGACATCGCATCAGAATATTCTGCTTGGTAGTCTGCTTAATGGCTATTAATATTCATAGGGTTGTGATGATAAGCATATGATGTACTGTATTGTTGCAATCAATTAGTTTTAAACGGGGGTCGTCGCGCTCAACAATTGTGAAATATTATAATTGTTATATTATTATTATTATTATTATTATTATTATTATTATTATTATTATTATTTGTATTATTATTATTATAATATAACAATTATAATATTGTTATATTATTATTATTATTATATATTATTATTATTATTATTATTATTATTACTACTACTACAACGGCAAAAGGCAGTGTATGACAATGAAAACGTAAATAAAATAAACACAGTAACACATTGACAATGGCAGTAAAGTGTTTAAATCAACAATAACAATAATAAAATTGGGAGTGATGAGACCCAAAAGAAGAAAATTACTGGACAGGGATAAAGAAGAGGAAAAAATGTGAAATCCAAGAAATAACAATTCAAGTTATGTAAAAAAGAGTAGATTTAATAATAATAATAATAATAATAATAATAAAATAATATATAATATTATGTAACAATATATATTTAAATAATATATTATTATCTACATATATATAATATATATATATATAAGAGACAATTTGATAATCATAATATAATATATAATATAATATAATATATATTTAAATAATATATTATTATTTACATATATATACAAATATTTTACATCTATATATATTATTAATATAAACATATTATATGTATATTATATATAATATTAAACAATAATAAAAATATTAATAATAATAATAATAATATAGGATACCAGTGTAAATAAATTGTATCCATGTGTATTTACTAATTCACAACTCTATAATGTAAGGTTAACCTTTACTGCAAACATTAACATTAACCTCTTTCATTACTGTAAAGAAAATTGTCAACATTTTAATTGAATATGTTTAAGCAGTTGCACAGAGATATGATGGCCCGGCTTACAATGGTCAATTTTTCTAACGAGCTTCTAAGTAACAGCAAAGTGAAGCAGGATGATAATAATCAAACTAGCTGAATATAATTAGAAATTAAATGTGGCTGCCAATATAATACAATGTACAACAAATTACGAGGAATATCAAATACAACTACCCTTTAATTTTAGAAGCCCTCAATTAATAGGTCTAACATTTTTAACATCAAATCATTCGATTACCGTCTACTATGTTTCCATACTATTATACCTCTTCTTAAAAAAAATAATGATATGTGGAATACTGGGTTTACTTGCTTCAAAATAATATCCATTTTATACTCTTACTGCCTGTTATGCATTGTTTAAATTAATATATAATAGTTATAATAATAATATTAATAATAATAATAATAATAATAATAATAATATTAATAATAATAATAATAATAATAATAATAATAATAATAATAATAATAATAATAATAATAATAATAATAATAATAATAATAATAATAATGAAGTGCAAACAATGTTACTGATACTGGTAGGCCTACTTGTACTGGTATTGGATATTTATATTGCGTCTTTCCCTTGTGGTTATGGAGCGCAAGCCAAGCCTCAATAATTCAGGAAAACAATGGTAGGCATAACATCAGTCAATATTCAGGAACCCCACGCATTACATTAGTACAGTCACACGTCAAAGACAAATAAACAGATTACAACAACAACAACAAAAAAAAAAACACAAAAAGAAAAAGCAGCAAAAATTCACCATTTATTGGAAACTTTCACGCTGTACCAATCAGTAAATGCTTCCTCCGCCCCTCGTACAGCATTTCAACATTTATCGTTATCTAAGCCTATTGTAATTTCCGCGAATACTCAGCAGATAATATGCCAATGCTGAATAAATTAGAATTAAATTAAGTATTGTCAAAATCAATGCTTTGGTCTTCCTTTATATCCTCAAACAATGGAAATTCAACGTTTACTGTCGTTTTCCTTTATGTTCACAAACAATAGAATTCACCGTTTACTGGAAACTACACGAGATGCAGCCTGGTTGGTAATAGTGGCATTCTCACAAATAGTAGATGTGGGTCGGATATAGACAAATCAGATTTCATTATACGGTAAGGTACACCTACGTAATGTTGTAATCATCGTACACAATACATTTGCTTTCCTCTTGAATAAACATATTCAGTCAATATACAAATATGTATCTTAAGCACTGTCCAGACTATCAAATTTTATTTGGCAAAAACATGTGACATGCCTAAATATGGTCATGATGACATCACATCATCACCATACATGCACATCATGACTATAATATATGGGCATTCAACAGCTTTTTGTCAAACAAGATTTGATAATCTGGACAGAGCTTTAATTTATACTGATACATAATCATCCTCTTGTTTACCCGTCGTCGTTAATTTGCTTAACAATATCACAGTGCATCATCACTAGCAAATTAGATATGGGAGTGTGGAGGCTAATGGAGGGTCGGGTGCGAAGATGAAGTGGATGGTGGGGGCTCGATGATTTAGTGAGGGAGCTAGCTGGCAAACAACGGTGATATGAGGTCAGTTGCGTAGGTATGGGCAGTGCAGCCAGTGCAAAGCACTGGGGCCTGGGGCTTTTTTGGGGGGTGGGGGAGGGCCCGTTCAATAAGCATATCTAAAAACATAACTTTAAAAATTCCTACTTAAATATTCCCCTTAATAACATTATGTTTTATAGGCAGATTGTATTCATTCCAAATTACCAATTAAAACATGCCATGAACAGCTTCATATCTGTTGAATACAATCAAATATTTTATTCCATAAAGTATTTACGTATGCTTCGTACCAGTACGGTACGGTGCACTAAAATACTTTTTGAAAGCATATTTCTAAGCAATTGAAATATCGGCGCGCACATCAAACGTTGGGCCTATTGTTTGATATTATAAAGTTGATTCAACTATATTGTGCACGTTAAGTTCTTGAATCATACTTATGAGTAGGCCTACGCCAGTGTTAAAAGAGGGGGAACGAGTCAGACCACAGACGGACACTACTGCTAGAATAATATGGCAATTCAAACGTGTTTACTCCACTGTATATTAGGTCATTTATTATTCTATTGTTATACTTTATCAAA